TTGTCTTTAAACATGAAGCTAAGTTCTCTCTGCGACATAATGTTCATTATGAAACTAACTACATTCTTTGATAAACCTATTTCTATTAATTTATCCGTCAAAACCTGTATATTAATATTGTCGTAAGCCGATTCAATATCCAAAAAACTTGACATCAATACTTTTTGTTTAATAAAACTAATATTAACATCTGTAATGAAGGAAGATAAACTATCATTGCAAGATTTTAATCTACGAAAACCGAAAAATTGTTTAGGAAAGAAATGTTTATCTTCAAGGAACCACTGAATTCGATTATTAATTATTCGTTCAAAAATTTTTTGAATACAAGAAGAAGGAGCTATAGGTCTATAACCTCGATTTTTTGGTTTAGGAATCAGGAAAACTAACTGTTTTTTCCAATCTCCAGGAACTTTATTCTTTTTAAAAATGAAGATAAATATTTTTGTCAAAAGATCAATTGATTTATCTGGTAGTTGTTTAATTATTCTGTAAGAAATCAGATCTTCTCCAGGAGCTGAATTAAGTTTTGCATTGCCAATCGCAGCCTTTATTTCTTGGATACTCATGTCCTTATCTAATAAATTGTTAATCACTGGAGATTCTTTAATGTTTATAGGAACTGAAGGGACATCTGGGGCAACTTTGTTGATTGATTCAATAATTTTTGGATCTTCAGGAGAATTATTTAGTCTATGAGTATTATTTAATTTTCTATTCTTAAAGACCTTTATATAACCCCATATTTTATCCATCGCCATTTCCGGATTCAACGTGTCACAAAAAGCAACAAAAGATTTTCTCTTAACTCGGAAAATTCCCTTACGAGCTTTATTACATGCTTGTACATATTTATCATTATTTTCTTCTGTAAAATCATTGAGTAAAACTTTTAACTTAGATTTCCGATCTTTCACTAGTTCTGAACAGACTTTATTCCACCAGATTGCTATCGGATACTTTCTAGGAATTAAAGAATGGTCTGATTTTTTACCACCTGAGTTTAATAGACAATCCATAATAATCTCAGTTAATTCGTCATATGTATTAAGGAAGTTTTCTTCATTAACATTCATTAAATCTTCATTTAATTGAGATTCCAATTTGTTTTTAAATAGTTTCCAGTCTACATTAACTGTTGAACTTTTAACTCTATCCGTTTGCTTTTGAAATTTACCAAGACTGAAAAGGATACTAATAGGAAAGTGGTCACTGCCGAAGGAATCTTCCCCAGCAGACCACTGAGCAATCACCTTTAGTTCAGCAGAGCATAAGGAGATATCCGGAACACTAATCTTCCCCTCGGAATTAATTCTCGTTCTCTCTCCAGTGTTTAATATTACTAATTCATTTTCAAGTGCTGATTCTAAAAACCAAGAACCCTCCGGATTATTGAGTTCACTACCCCATTCATCAGAGTGTACATTGAAATCTCCACAAATTATCACATTGTTTAAGGTTCTTTGAACAAAATTAAATAAATTCTTCCAATCTTGGACTTGAATATAAGAAGATGGCGATCGACAAAAATTATGGATTTCTTTTTTTTTTGATTCCATTCTATTTCAATCCCTACCCATTCAATTCCTTTGGGAAAATTCAATTTAAGTTTTTTGTAACTCAAAAAAGATCTAATATAAATAATTGAGCCCCCTCCATGAACTTCTTTAGGTTGATTGAGATTAACATAATAAAAGCCTTTAAGATCAATTTCTTTTCCATCTTTAAAAAAGGATTCATTCAAAAATATAATATCAAAATTTTTGGCTACAAACGTAAACTCATTCCATTTGTTTAATAAACTCCGGCAATTCCACTGTAAAATACGTAAATCCATTATTTAGATAAACTCTTGTATCGGTCCTCCGCTAACTTAATTCCCTCTACCACTTTCTTCTCATTACCCAGAATTTCCCTCAAAATCTGAATAAACTTGTTAATTTCGATCATGAAGGACTGCTTAAGATCCAGCAAAACATGACCTTGAGGTATTTCATGTCTTGTTGTGGCCACCGTAGTGCCAGTAGAGGAAGAATTGTCCGAGCTATCTCCCTCCCCCCCATTGTTCAGATTATTGAAAACATGAATATTCTCTTCAAAATCATTTCCCTCCGTTAAACGTCTCTCACTATGACGAGTAACCAAATCCTTAGCCTCTTTATAGGAGATTCTTTTCTCTTGTTTCACTTTATTTATCATTCTTTCCTTGAAATACTGAGGACAAATCATGGATAAGGAGTCATGATTTGAAGAATTACAGTGAACACAACGTACGAAAGTACTAGAACACTTTTGAGAATCATGTTTACCTGAGCATTTACAACATCTTCTTTCCCCTCTGCAAATATTTTGAAGGTGACCGAATCTAAGACACTTAAAGCACCTTTTGACTTTCGGGTAGAAACATCTAACTCTCCTTACAACACCGTCTAAGGAAATACTCAAAGGAAGAGTCGTACCATGAACGAATATTTTTATCATAGTAGTAGGAATAAAAGATAGCCTTCCCCTTTCATCTTGATCAACATCTGGGTCTCTTTTATTTATTCTTTCCACTGCAAAAATTTTGCTAGAGGGATCAGATCGATTAATTGACTCGAGAATATCTTTATTGTCCATTTCAATAGGGATATCCCCTACAACACCTATACATTTCACACTATTGTCTGGGATTATGGCAATCCAATTCTCGTTAACTTTATTGATTTCTGATTCCACCAACCTGTTTGCCGCGTGAGCAGAGGTACATACAACCATCACTTTATCAATATCAAGTTTCCTAATCCTTTGTACAAAACTGTTAACTTTACGTAAATCCCTGGCTATTGCCATCTCATGTAGATTTCCAAGATGTTTATTCCTATTTTTGTCAAAAATGTAAATAGTATAGGGTCCTAAATCTTCATTTTTATATCTGTTATTCTTCATACCTGAGTAGTAATCGAACAAATTGAATTGACTGGGTTCCTCAACGTCCATTAAGTCATTTAAATCAGATTTAGATTTTTTGGTGTCAGAAGGATCTAATGAATGCCTTAAAGATCTTTTAGTTGGAGTAATTGACATGATAATTTGAAGAAATCAACTATTATTAAAATTATAATTTATAGAAGAAAGCAAAAACAAAAAAAAACGAAAAGATGATACAAGAAACAGACAACACACCTTTGGAGACTGAAGAAATAGCTGCGACTTCAAAATTTCTCTGAGAATTCACGTATAATATGTATCTCTGGTTGGAAAACACAATAGATCGTTGGAGCAATATCAAACACGTGTGGTCGGCTTCGCTATTCAGAGTCGTCTCCCTGTCAGCACGGGTGTCTGCTTATACTTTATGAAATCACCCCCCCCCCCCCCCCCCCCCCCCCCC